GAATAACATAGGACGGTACAGTGTACATTTGGTTTAATAAGTTTACTTGAATAACATAGGACGGTACAGTGTACATTTGGTTTAATAAGTCCACTTGAATAACATAGGACGGTACAGTGTACATTTGGTTTAATAAGTTCACTTGAATAACTGCATGCTGAAGAGTTGAGTTGAGTTGAGTTGGGCTTTAGATCACATCGGCATTATTCCCGCCATATCGTGACGAGATCAAGTCTGAATTCATACACATTTTGCATGCTAAAAAAGAAAATCAGGTCATTAATCTGTCACGCATTGTAGATGCAGGAATGACAATACAATTATATTAATACAAACCACGTAATGTGAGACTATATTGCCTATGAGATTGACGTCATACCCGGTATGCGAATATGCTTAAAGTATAAGACCTAGATATAGCTTTAAATTCAGACTTCGAGAGTAAAGTTCGCCTTTATGCAAGATAAGGTGGGTTTTAGCGAAAGTGTGTGCTTTCTTGGTTGAAAATAAATAGAGATACGAATGCGGCTAGTAATAAATCAAAATCAGTCGTTCAGCATAAGGTCAGGATACATTTGCAAAAAGGTATTAATGTCGGGATGTTCGTGTCCAAAGGCTGTCCCTCAGGTCTGAGTAGAAACTACAGACACCGGAAGTGTGGTGTTAGTTTGTGGTATTCCTGTTTGGTTTGGGTTTGTTGTTGTTGTTGTTGTTGTTTGTTTTTATGTGGGTTTTTTGGTGTTTTGTCATTGCGAAGTAGAATATACTGGTGACGCATTTACAACGACCCGTACAGAACCACGTGGCTAGGGATTTGGGGTTCGCTGCGGAACAAATATACACATGCCGTGACTTAGGATAGACAGCTGCTGCTGGTAAGGCTAGGTTAATGAAAATTCATGTCATTGGAAAAACAGCTAGATTTAATACTTATTTATCAAATTGCAGTACAGGCCGATTCTGTGTATACGAGAGACTTTCTTGAAAAATATATTTCTCTATGCGACAATAATGTCGTATTCGTTCACTGAGAAGATTTGATTGTAAAGAACTTCCTCTACACTTGCTAATATATATATATTCTTGTATTAATAAAAAGATATGAGTGATAAGAAAACTCGGTCTCCAAGAATAATCGCCCTGTTAGAGACATTGGTATGTTCATTTGTAATATAGAATTATACCAATTACTGAAGCAGGTCAAGAGTGTACTCACTTTATCACAAAAAATAAAATATGTTCCATTGTTTCACGTTCAGTCTTGCAAAAACTGCAAAAATCAGTATCTGTCTGACCAATTCTAAACAAAAAAGAGTTGGTTGTTAAAATGCTATGTAAGGTTTTACATTGGAAATTTCGCAGTTTGTTTTCTACAGTACATAATTGGTGAAAGATAATCTTCAGTTACAGGCGTATTCAATTTTTATTTCCCATTTATTGCTAAGTTCTAGAGATTACTTTGTACATCTTCATACATTTGCTGGTAAATGAACTTATCTTTACTGGATATCAAATTCTGCATTAGATTTTGAGAGTTCGAACATTCTTAGTACTCATTACTAACATAGGTTCGGATCTTGTCAATCCAGTTTCAAGGTATATATTTTAAAAGTCAGTGGTACAACAAGAATGTACCACTTAAATCAAATTCGGCTTGAAGAGTTTCAAAATATTTTAATTCTCCCATATCTGTAAATAATCACCTCACTGATTGTACAACATATTTTAGCCAGTTTGAAAAATCTTTAATGTCTTTGTGTGGAATGAAATTAATTATACGAAGTTGTAAAACTGTTTCTTCTTCGAGGATTTCCTTATTTTTGAATGTACTCAAACGTCTCCTAACATCCTTCCAGAAATCATTCTTCATGAGTTTACAAATTGTATACAGCGGTCTTTTTCTAGATCACAATGTTTGTAAAATTACCAACTACACATACTCTGAACTGACGAGGCAAAGTTCCAATGCTTAAACCGATTGTAGTACTTCTACTGTCATAGATCCAAATTACTGGCCTTGGGGTCTACTTTCACAATGTGACATTAACGCAACGTAACATATAATTGGGTCTACGCTCTCTCAGGTAAGTACGGATTGTAGTCATTTGTGGGGATTGATTCTCATCCGGGATTCGAACCCACACTCTCTGAGCGGGACACCCTAGGGTCAGCGATTAGGTGATTAGGTGCCCCACTCTGAGGGTGTGGGATTGAGTCCCGTTCGGGAGAGTGAAGTTGAGGCCCATAGTGGGCTCGAACTGACGATGGGACTCAACTCTTTCCCCAAAGTGAGTGAGTGAGTCAGTTTGGTTTTACGCCGCTTGTAGCAATATTCCAGCAATATCACGGCGGAGGACATCAGAAATGGGCTTCACACATTTACTCATAGAGAATCGAACCCGGACCTTCGGCGTGACGAGCGAACGCTTTAACCACCAGGCTACCTCACCGCAAAGTGAGGGAGTTTCGTTTTACGCCGCACTCAACAATATTCCAACTACGGTTTTCACCAAAGGAAAGTACTAGAATCTGTACTTTACTGAGAGTGCGCATAACATGTGTTACATTTGACCATTTCCTTAAAAGCATCGTGAATTTAGCTCTTCGATCACCGTAACGGACATAGTTTAACACAAAGTTACCACTTCGGTTACTTCGTGCAAGCATGGCCAAGGGCTCATTAGGAAGAACAAACTGAGACGGGGTCACAGACTTTGGGAAGGGATTTTACGTACGCTTGTGGCTGCGAGAATGTTGAGTTTGGTCGATGTTGTACACCGTGACGGTGGCGTGCAACACTATGTGATGTGCAGTGTCACATCGTAACATGCATGGTGCATATGCATGCGCTTGTGTCTTCATCAATACGCCTGGAAGCAGCGCGTCATCGGGTAACGTCATTATTGATGGACCTAGCAAATATGAGTTCGTTTAAACCAGGGATACTCTACAACAATATAATCTCCCTGTTTAAACGGAGCTAACAGTACATCATTAACACATCGATGCAACTCTTGATAGTTTATATTCGGCACAGACAGAAACTACAACACGGATCTCATTCTGAGGCGGCAATGCCTTAATTAGACGACACTCTACATAAACTGGCAGTATATGACGAAAAACGGACAGATCTAACATAAAAACCAACAAATGATCATGATATTATCCCGCAGTTGTCATGGTCCAAAACGCGGGTTACAATTATCTCCCTTTACAAGGACCGTGTGCACTTCGTTTTAATGTATTGCTACATCTTCAATATCCCAAATTTAGATTGTTCCCAGCAAAAGTGTAATTTAAAGTATCACATAGGGTATTTTCAATTAAGCGACATATAAACTACATGTATATACATGCTCCGCTAATCACTGTGTCCGACAGATGGGGCGTTACATTGTCCGCTCTTAATACGTCTTTATTTATTTCTAGTGGAGCGTCACTATATTTGTATAAAAGGCTTAACGTAGTAGGTAATAGAAAACTGAATACGTTCCAACGAATTAAATTAAAATGAGGTAGAAAAAACGTCTATTTAACATTGTTTCCAGGTGAACTACATCACTTACCATAAGAGGCGACTTACGGGATCGGGTGGTCAGGCTCGCTGACTTGGTTGACACATGTCATCGGTTCCCAATTGCGCAGATCGATGTTCATGCTGTTGATCACTGGATTGTTTGGTCCAGACTCGATTATTTACATATAGCCATTTAGCTGGAATATTGCTGAGTGCGGCGAAATTAACATTTCAAGTGTAAAATTTAGATATTACGACATATTTGGAAGAAGAAATATTTGAGAAGCCCAAGGTTGTTAACGTGTGACATCTTTCCACATTTTATTTTGATTTTATTTGGAAAATAAACAAATTGTTACATTTGAACCTTCTTTGTTACAATTGCCCCATCCACCTGTTACAATTGCCCCGTGCTAGGGGTCAATTGTAACACTTGTAGTCATTGCATTTGATACGTAATAACTTTGTAAAGACATGATAGTGAACTTGAAACGACACTGAGGTTTAAAGCCAAGAAGCCAATGTACTAGTTAGTACCGATTAACTTTGTGAGCGGTCGTCTGGGATCGAGCTACAAGAAGTTAAGTAAAAAGTGTTACAATTGACCCCGGTCTCCCCTACATTATTACAAACAGGCACGCACACATGCCACCGCGGGCACGCACGCGCACAAGCGCACACATACACACTAAGGCAGCCATACACAAACACGCACGCGCACCGACTCATACACCCTGGCACACACACGCATGCACGCACGCGCACACACACACCTGCTTTGTGTGGCCACTCACACAGATACCTCTCTATTACAAGCATATGTCGAATTGCTTGCGTTTGAATTTGATGCTATGACAGTTGCTGTTATTAACGTAATGAATGGTAAAACTCATCAGGACTTTGTACTTTAAATGTTTATGAATGCAGACTTAATCTCGTCACTATATGGCTGGAGTAATGCCGATGTGACGTAAAGCCCAACTCAAGTCAGATGTCGAGCCTACAAGTTAGTGTTCATTGGGGGAGGTGGTGTAGCCAAGTGGTTAAAGCTTTCGCTCGTCACTTCAAAGACCTGGGTTTGATTCTCCACACGGGTACAACGTGTGAAGCCCATTTTTAATGTCCCCTGTCGTGATGGAATATTGCTAAAAGAGGCGTAAAACCATACTCACTCACTAGTCAAAAATCTTAAATCTATTCGCAGCTAACAAGAATATAAGTTCAATCTTTCGGCCTGCTTCTCTATATAATAACGATAAAATATAAGTCGTATTGCACAATACACAAATCTATGTCTTGACCCAGCGATACTCCTCCGTGATACACACATATCACGTCTCAGCTACACAGGCTGGCCAAGTCGGGAAGGAGTGCTGAATGCCTTCAGCAAGCCGTTAAGACTGTATTAGCCTCTACCCCCATTCCTCGCTTTAGCGCGCCGTGGTGGCTGTTTTCCATGTTAAACAACATCTTTTCATGCTGCAGAATCGTACCATAGACGTAACCTTCTTTACATGTTGCATGGTTTTCAAAGAGACACCATTTGCTCACAGGAAGGGTGCTCAGAATATGAATCAATGCAGAGAGCAGAAAGTCGCACTTGGCAGTCGCGCTATAGCAGTCTAGGCCAAGGATTAGTCTCGGCTGAGGAGTGTATTATACGAGACAGACTGTTTGTTGATTGGTTCGCGGCCTTGCAAGGGCTTAGGGCGGTATTACTGCCTGACTGGGTCTATAGGCTGTTCGTTCAGCCCATGCTATGTATCGAGGGCGAGGTGAAATATGGCGGAGCATATTCCCAAAACGAGAAAGCCGAACTTCACCGAGTCCGAGACTCTAATGATTGTAGAACAGGTGAAGAAGCACAAGGACATCCTCACCAGCAAACTCTCCGACGCTGTGACGAACGAACGTAAGAAGGATATATGGAACCGTATTAGTGACTACATCAACAACAGGACTCGCAATGTGCATCGGACGTCGGGGGACATTCGCCGGAGGTGGAAGAACATGGTGGGTGCTGCCAGAAAGGAGGTGGCCAGAATCAAGAGTATGCCGTCTGGGTCAGCGTCTATACCAGAACCCTCGGATCTCAGCTTGCAGATTCTGGACATTAACCCTGAGTGGCAGGATGTGTCGACTTACAATATGAACGGGCCAGACCCCTGTCTCTCGTCATTCATGAAGGTTGAGGCTTGTAACGATGACGAGGAGGAGGACGATATGTCCTATATATCCACATCCCCTGGGACCCAGTCCGACCCCAGTCGTGCTCTCGGTGGGAGACAAGGGGATAACGTCATATCACCACGTCACACAAACTTCTCGCCGTCGACGTCATATACTATGGACAACAACCAATCAAATCCAAAGAAGAGACGTCTCGAGGAAGCCAGCCATCTGCATCAAGAAATAATGCACCTCGACCGCGAGAATCTCACGCTCGAGAAAGAAAAACTGAAAATAGAAAAGGAGAAACTTTCAATGGAGAAAGAGCAACTGGCAATAGAACGACAGAAGTTGGGAATGGAACGAGAGAAATTAGCCATGGAGAAAGAAAAAATGAACATGGAGAAGGAGAAACTAGCCTTAGAAATCAGTTACTGGAAGAGGAAATTGCTGCAGATTTCAAGGAACCCTTTTGACAGTAATGAACGTACGGACAATGGCGTGGATTGATATCACAACACGATGTGCTACCTGTTAAATACTCATATACAGACTTGGATCATAGCAGTATTAGATGTTGGATATATGTCTCACCTGGTCAAGATGCGACGGACCTATCATGTGTGTTGGTGTAGGCTGAGGTCATACTGTATATATATAGACATGCTACCACGAGGTACGATATACAGGATATATACTGCATGTTGACATGGTTATATCAGTGTATGATATACAGGATATACACTGCATGTTGACATGGTTATATCAGTGTATGATATACAGGATAAATACTGTATGTTGACATGATTCTATCAGTGTATGATATACAGGATATACACTGCATGTTGACATGGTTATATCCGTGTATGATATACAGGATATACACTGCATGTTGACATGGTTCTATTAGTGCATGATATACAGGATATATACTGTTTGTTGACATGGTTATATCAGTGTATGATATACAGGATATATACTGTATGTTGACATGGTTCTATCAGTGTATGATATACAGGATATACACTGCATGTTGACATGGTTCTACCAGTGAATGATATACAGGATATATACTGTATGTTGACATGGTTCTATCAGTGTATGATATACAGGATATATACTGCATGTTGACATGGTTATATCAGTGTATGATATACGGGATATATACTGTATGTTGACATGGTTCTATCAGTGTATGATATACAGGATATATACTGTATGTTGACATGGTTATATCAGTGTATCATATACAGGATATATACTGTATGCAGACATGGTTCCATCAGTGTATAATATACAGGATATATACTGTATGCAGACATATAGTGTATGATATACAGACCAGCTTCAGGATATATAATGTATGTTGACATGGTTCTATCAGTGTATGATATACAGGATATATACTGTATGTTGACATGGTTCTATCAGTGTATGATATACAGGATATATACTGTATGTTGACATGGTTCTATCAGTGTATGATATACAGGATATATACTGTATGTTGACATGGTTCTATCAGTGTATGATATACAGGATATATACTGTATGCAGACATGGTTCTATCAGTGTATGATATACAGGATATATACTGTATGCAGACATGGTTCCATCAGTGTATGATATACAGGATATATACTGTATGCAGACATGGTTCCATCAGTGTATAATCCATCAGTGTATGGGGATATATATATACTGTATATCAGAACATGGTTCTATATAGTGTATAATATATCAGGTATATATACTGTATGCAGACATGGTTCCATCAGTGTATAATATACAGGATATATACTGTATGCAGACATGGTTCTATCAGTGTATAATATAATATAGAGAATATATACTATATGCAGACATGGTTCCATCAGTGTATGATATACATACATGTTCTGCATATCCATGAGTGTATAATATACATGGTTATATACTGTATGTAGATAATATACAGGATACCGGATATATAATTGTATGTAGACATGGTTCCACGAGTGTATAATATACAGGATATGTACTGCATGTAGACATGGTTCGTACGTCGATATGTATCCGTAAGTGTATGATATACAGGATATATACTGTATATAGACATGGATTCATGAGTGTATAATATACAGGATGTATACTGTATGTATACATGTATCCATGAATATAATATAAACATCATATATATTGTATCGAGACATTTAGCCGCGAGTGTATGATATACAGAATACATGCGGTTTGTTGACACAGTTGCAGTTACTTTATGTCGAAATGTGTATATGATTGTATGCTATACGTGCTATATGGAGACATTGGGTCATGAGTGTATGGCATTCCCCATAAAGATACACTTTATGAAGCCATTTCAGGACCAGCGTCACGCCGTCTTCACTACCTGTCACGAGCAGTGCTAAATACTAGAACGAGCCAAAACTGACCAGTTTTGCAAGTTAAACATCATGATAATAAATATGTATTTTATATCATATTTACAATTCGGTGTTTTTTGTTTACATGAAATAAAAATAGACAGGAAAATGCGAGTTAAACAAGAAATATTTGCTGACAATAAGCACATGTTAATCAGATGGAACGCTGACACAGGTCAAATATTGCGATAGACATCGCATCCTCACTTAAGTGTCATAATGAGTTTTGAAGCGTATCGTTTAGGTCCCATACTGCCTACAGTTCCAAACTGCCTACATCCCAAACTGCCAACAAAAACATTGTGGGCAGCGTGGGAAAAGATGTTTTGCCCTGTAGAATAAAGGAACAGCCCGAGTATCAATGAAGAGGTGCTTCGTTTGGAGTAAGGGATAATTAGGGGGATTATATTAGTATATATCTGTGCATCTACTTCTGTGTATAGTATGTTTTGAGTCTTCTCATCCAATAAAGACTACAAGACAAGTACAATGATATTGTTTTATTTTGTTTTGGGAAGCAGTTAGCATGCTTATATTTTAACCTCCAAAGCAGGATTAACTTAATCCTATTTGATCAAGTTGGGTATAGGCTTGTTTTAACTATGTTGTTACAGGCTTTGTCTGTCTTTGTCAGATTATGTCGAAAAACATGGTAAGGACTAAATTGTTGAGAAGATCTCATCTTCTCAGAGAAGGTCAAGAACTTCAACGACTACGTCACGAGTACATGGATGGACTATGAGGCAGGTTCTCCGGTACGGATCTGGACGCAGTGTGGAAATATTGGCCCACGGACTAACAACCACCTTGAGGGGTGGCACCTGAAGCTGAAAAACCTTATTGCCAAAGCCCACCCAAACATCTACCTCTTCATCTGCAACATCAAGAAAATCGAAGCCGTAGACAAAGCTAAACGTGCTCAGCTCGACTGTGGTGCCCTCCCCAAGTCACGCAAGCGTGTTTACAGAGAGCTTGATGCGAGACTTCTGAGACTGAAGGAACACCTCCAGAGCGGCAGAAAAACGCCTCTTCAGTACCTTGATGCTGCTGGACATCTCATCAAGTTTGCAAAGTGATTGTCAGTTGTGTGTGAAAAGACTGTAAAACCACTGAAAGACTGTCATTTTTTTAAACTTCTGTAGGCAGAGTGGGAAGACACCATAGAATTAACCAGCTAACTAGTCAAGTTCATTTTAGCAGAGGTGGAACAGGTGAGATCGGTGTATTCACTTCCTGATCACTGGACCGTATCATGTTGTTTTAACCTGTAGGCAGTTTGGAACTGTAGGCAGTATGGGAATACACATATGTATCATCGTAGAGTGTATATACTGAACTGTTTGCGAGACTCGCATTAGATGAGGTTAGACAAGTTCGTGGGTCTGTTCACAGTTCAGATCAGGGATGTCACGGGCCGGGTCACAGGTGAGATCAGTTGACACTTGGGATCACAGGGGTTCGAATCACTGTTTGAACAATAATTTTTAAAAATCAAAATCTAGACTTTTGCAATCATATATTGTTTATATATGTTGTGATTAACATATATTTCAAATTTGAACGAAATCGCTGAAGATAAGATAATCGGTCTAGATTTTTATTTTAGTGATGCGAACCCCTGTGCTTGGGATGGTGTTACGAGTTCAGATTGTGTTCAGACCGGAAGACAGTCCAACAAAGGTATTACAGTGTACGAAGAAGCACACAGATTAGGTCTTGACAGATTCTTAGGTGCGAAACAGAAATTAAAACCGTGCTGTTAATGTAACAATTTGTCTGTTGCCTGTAGAGCGAATTAACTTGTACTAGGACAGTGCTGCAGCACTCGAATGTTGTCGTCAGAAGAACCTATCTACGAAGGCTCTGAAAAGCTGAAGTTAAAGGAGCTAAAAAGCTGAAATATAACGAACTGAATTGTAAGGGACTGAAATGCTGGGATATGTGAGGGATATGCAGGTGTATATAAAATGCTGAAATGTTGAAACGCATTGACTGCAATTTAAGAGGCAGTGGTAATATTCACCTAGCAGCAATATATGCAAGTGAAAATAATGATCTTCTCTGACTGATGTCTGCATGTAATGCATGATGACAGAGGCTAGCGCGTCCCCCCTTAGCCACATGAAAATGATTCCACACATTTTTTCACAAGGCTGGATTTAATCTGCGCAGAACGTTCCAGATGATTCCTAGTCTCAATATAGCAACAACCACTGCCCCCTACTGAACCTTAACAGAAACAATGATGTAAGATTATAACGCTGTACCATTGTAAAACATGAATCATTGACTAAACTTTGAGGTGTTGCTAACTATGATGGTGTGATGTTGCCAAGGATATTGCTGATATGATTCTAATTCAAGATTCGAGATATTGCTGACTATAGAGCTGAGATGTGCTGAATATAGTGCCGATGTGTTGCTGATTATACTGGTATGAAGATGCCAAGGATATTGCTGGGATGTTGATAGCTACAGTGCCGACATGAGCTGACTATAGTGCTGAGATGTGCTGAATAAAGTGCCGATGTGTTGCTGATTATACTGGTATGAAGATGCCGAGGACATTACTGGGATGTTGATAGCTACAGTGCCGATACGAGCTGACTATAGTGCTGATATTATGTATACAGACGGTGTGTTCTGTACGGGGTAACTGTTTCACAATATAAGATTTATGTTCGCTTTTCAGTTATAAAACGGCCATCTCTGGTGATTGTAGGGCGCTTCATTTCGTTTGCGGGGGCATCGTTCTTTGCATGTTTTTATACATTTTCAGTTTATTGTTGGGTCGTTTCATGTGAACGACTACATCTCAACCCACATGTTTTACCATCCATGACAACAGCTATGGTGCTTTTGTCACACACCGCTCGTCATAATTTTATAATGAAACGTAAAGAAAATATTATCATCTTGATCTGTCAGGGTGAGTGAATGGGTCTGTTTATAGCCCGCGTTATCGGCAATACCACAGCTGGGAAAACCAGAAATGGGCTCGTCACATGATGGGAAATGGAACCTCGGACTTTGGTGTGACGAGCAAACATTTTGACCACAAGGCAACCCAACCCTGGTTTGTTTCATCTTAGTGTTTCCATTCACGAGTTGTGTCTGTGTGGGGATTCCCCTCTCATCAATATAATACATTGTACACCGTAAAATGACCAAGTGAGCACATGAGTGGCTCTCCCATTTATATACACCACGTGACATAACGCAAGTAGTGTCTACATCGGCATTAGTAGAGAATCGGTCCTTCATATGCTGACCAGTGTCCCTCTAAACAGCTGAGTACAACGTCGCTGGACGTGAGCTGTCATCGCGTGATAGGCAGTATTCCAGTTACATGTATGTGTCGTTGTGTGTCAGCTAACTGTCAGGGGTAATGTTCTGCTTACCACAGCATTATTACAGCTTTATACGGGCGGTCTGTAAATCAGACAATACCGTGATTGACCAGATAAACATCGATCTGGGATACGAGTGAGTGAGTTTAGTTTTACGCCGCTTTTAGCAATATTCCAGCAATATCACAGCGGGGGACACCAGTGGCCGTATGCACATGTTGGGCGTAACACACTACGTCGGGCTTAGCAGCGCCCTCCTCTTACACGTCATGCACAACGTCGGTTAAGTCTAGGCGTTACTACGCCCGGCTTAACGGATTTACGTCGAGGCGCAGTGTGCTATTTTTAGATTTTCGAACGTTTTTAAACCACCGGTAAAAGGCGCGAAAAAACTTCGCGGTACATCCCTTTCAGCCGTAATCATGGAAAGCCAAAGAAAACCGAGAAAACCCAACTTTACCGATGGATCCTGATGGAGAAATAACATGGACTTTCCAAATGGGCTTCACCATAAATGTCGCCATTTTTTACACATTACGAAATCACGATTCACAGCGTTATTTGGTGTTTGTTTTCAAATGTTCAAATCGGATAATTACTACTCAGAAGGATTGAATTTCAAAAATAGCATATTACTGATCACTGATATCAGGTTTTCATGAAATCACTAATGATAATTCTGAAAATATACTTACACGAACGCCGAAGTGCGCTTTCCGTCATATTGGATAGTGTTTACAAAATCACGTTTCGCGAAGGCCGGCGAAGGCCGCCGAAGGCCGGAGACGCCAATTACATCACGTATATATCATATTCAGCTGCGACAAATGCATCACTGAATTCCCAACACATTTTAGAATCAAGTTACAAATGGGCTTTGTCACCAATATCAACTGTCTTGATAAAATGAAACGAAAGATATTGGGTGTGAAAAGTCCAAACGAACGCTGTGCTCGAAAGGCTGTGCTTGTAAAGAAAGAAAAATTCCGATTTTTACACTACGTAGCATTTTCTGAAATTTTCCGACATTCAGCCGTCTATTTATTGCTTGCAATGGCTCAATAGCTTTAGAATATGCATGGAAAGAGTATCGTAGCAAGAAATGGGAAATTAAAAACAGATACAATGCAATCATTTGATATTTCATAAGAAATTGTCGAAGTTTCCGTGCAGCGTGACGCCATGACTGACGCAGAATCACGCAGAACGACAGAGGTAATTATCAGCATTTCTGGCTTCTTCTCTTACTTACAATGAAAACGATAAAACATATAACAATACACAGATAGTCAGAATCATTCTGATTACTTACATCTCATATTTTATAAACGAACGATCCCTGAATCAAAGGAAGGGTCCTCGCAAAATCCTGTGTACCCTTAGTACCGCTGTTTTTTCGTGAAAGAAATTCATTATTTAAACCAGATCAAAGTTCGTCTAGGTCAAAGGTTAATCATATCACTCCTTCAACTTACACCATCGCCAGAGAAAGTAGTTCCCTTTTCAAACTACACACGTTTATTATGTGTACACAGACTAAATTTGACAATGATGAATAGATCATAGTATTATAGATAAAATGGACGGTATTATGATGAAACCGCCCTCTAGTTACAGAAATGAGCGGCCCACTGATTCCTCAAGTACGGGCCATTATCAGTTCTGTTGTCAAATGACGTCATAGCAGGTGACGTCACGCTCCATAATGACGTCATAAACCTTGTTTCATGATCTAACAGTGTTTGGTCAACAGCCCGTTGCGAGTAAGTTGTTTGAACTTAAAATTAAATTTATGATACTGTTTTGTCTTTTTTAACACAAATTCCACCCATTTTAGCTGGATAGGGGAGTTAATTGACCAATGGCTTCTGAAAATGACAATGTCCTGCGAAACAGTGTTACCCCAATAGTGTAGGGATACATTCAAAGGTTTCGGTGAATCGGTTTTCAAATTGCGACCGTATATGCTGATTATACGGTCGGAAATTTATAGCATTGACCAATCAGAACTCGTGTTACATACTAAGTTGAATTAGAATAAAATGTTGTATTATTATCAGTAATTTCATTACATTTGAAGATATGGCTAGTACTCCGTTAATAATGATGCATAATTAGTCATAATACATCTACACAAACAGGAGAACATGGGAATCTAAGAACTAACTTACATATCGGATACGGTCATCCACATCGCTATGACCTGCTTTCTCAAGTAGTACATAGCCATCTTTTCTTATAAATTGTGAAACTACCAAAACGTATCCGCTCACATTGTTGAACTTTGAATTGGAATAGTTTGGTTCACCGTGAACACAGCATAACGAAAATATAGCGTCCGTATCCACAACTTTTCTCCAAGTGATCTGAGTTACATTGACCTAGTGTTAAGCATAGCGGAGTTATGCCCCGTTATCTTTATACGTGTATGACCTCTCTGTCGTCGGTTGACGTCATAGAAGAAAATCCATTTTTGGCACTTATCGCGAGTCATTTTTAATGTTGAGCGTGTAACGTTAAGCATTAGCACATAAACCCATTTTATTTACACTTATGTCGTTCAGATATCAGGCTGTATTTTCTTCGCTCACACTTTCTGTAAAGATGCCAAATTAAAAAATTCGTAGCAGAGTGCTTTTATCGGTGCACGACAAAAAGCGGTGAAATTGACAGTTTTTTAACGCGTAACAAAATTTTGGACAACATTTAGCAGTGTCTATTTCTAAAACCGCCGAGGAAGTCGCACTTATATTTATACCAACAGATAGGAAATTAAATATTCTACATTTCTGTGTACTTTTATAGCCATACGCAGATCCAGGACCACAAGAGCGCAATTCTCGCACTACGTTCACTTTTCAAACCTTTTGAAATTGTGCTGCTGAAAAAAAACCTCGGCATCCAGTGCCGCCATTACAGGGCTACGCCTGCTGGGTAGGTGGCGTAAATATAGAGCGCTGCGACTGGCGTAACTTTTACTACGTCTAATATGTGCATACCGGTTTACGTTACGTCCGGGCGCACATTTTACATACGCCCGGACTAGAATTTACGCCCGACATATGCATACGGCCATTGGTCTCACTCAGCAATAGTCTGGCTCTGTGACGGCGATCTGCAAATAACCGTCTGCACCAGACAATCCAAACTATCTAAGTAGTTGATTTAGCCCTTTTATCGCACATATACACTTTAGGTGTAAGAACGTGATGCACCGCTCTGTTCACTTGAAACCCCATCATTATAACTGTTTCCATAACTTTCGGTAAAAGATTAAAACAATCGCATGAACTCGGCAAAGTAACGCTAAGAAATACAACTGTGACACCCGCATCACTGTCAAATAAGCATCTCTTGGTTTATTCCATTTTAACCGCCCCAAATCCATTGGCTTTCCTTTGCCCGTCGGTTTAGCATTTCATCACAAGAAGCTTGATGGTACACTACTAGTGACAATTAGGTCTACCTCGCAATAAGCGACTCTTTTTGTCCCAAAGAAAAATACATCTGCTGAGAGGGTGCTATGGAATTTGACAATGTCAATCTTTAACGTAACAAATATGACCGACTCAAGAAACAGAAAATGTTAGATCACATATTGATTATCTCCGATTTTGTACTTTGTGGGGATCACAATCATTTGGGCAGATAAGAAGTGAGTATAGTTTTACGCCGTCTTAACAAGATATCAAATGACTTGGAAACTTTATACGAATTAAAACTAATCCACGGGTCATTATGGGAAAATTGAAATGTTGCCTGTTCATCTAGAATTTCTTCCTGATCTCGTTCCACAAAGTCATCTCAGCGAAGTCTTAGCGCTACATGGTTGCTTTGGAACTGCATGGGTCCTTTTCATAATGGTTAGGTGAATCTACTTTTAGTTATGTCTTTGATTGTATCTAAATACATTTGTCGATCCAGTGAGTTCATTGCATGGGCAAAGCTAATATAACTGGATTTATGTAAACTAACAGTAACTGGACATGTAATATCGTCAACAGGCTCCCCTAGTTACCGTTGACTGCGGTATAGCGAAGAACGACCTTGAACTTCATTGCGCATACATTTCCACTTCCGCATAAATCACGTGACAATGTAGCTAGTTAGCGGGATGCTCGGATATAGAAATGTCACTTCTGTCAAACGGTGATACAAGCGTTCTTCTTAAAGGTAAGAACTGAAAATTTGTGACCCGGCGGAGCACATTCTACTGATGATGCCTGTGAAATGTCACTGTTCTGTGAGCTGAAGGGAGTTCACTAGCATGTATCGTCTGTTAGGTTAGTGCGTTACCGTCTCTACATCTATCGCCGTCGGATCGATACAATTTTCATGAGTAATGAAGACGGTTTCCAGGACGAAAGCTGAGAATATGGTGGGTTTTACCGAGATAATTCGCAGAGAAGACCTCTCATCATGTATGACGTCAGTGTCGCTGCTGTCCTGCATTAGAAATTATATTGACTACTGTCGTCCATCTCCTGTCGTCTGCCTGTTGACATCTGACCGCGGTTACCTGTAGTTGCATCAAGACGGTTATGTTGATATGATCACATTACTCATTATTGGATTAACATACCAGAGTAGAAACTCATTCAGAAGCTAGAACTTCATTTGGAAAGTATTCTAGGTTGTCAAAGTATACCATATATGCAAAGACTATTTGCTTGTTTATTGTTTCACATGAATCATTGAATGCATCCCAATCGAACATGATTTATTAGTATTACTTTCCTAAATATTTAATGGTGGTTTGGGACTCATGAATTAGACCTGAAAGAGAGTGTGTCATATCTTAACCACTGAACATGATCATGCTATCAGTAACTGGATTGATTCTCAGGTTTTACCTAACAAATATGGTGAAGGGTGAAAATGTGTGGATGCCAACTTATGTCATATGCGGGACATGACATTTCGGAGTATATATATATTTTCATACTCTTTCATCAGGTGATGAGAGAAAGATTGTGTCCCTCATGTTATAGAAATATTTTCACCTTTTAAGTGTTCCACTTCTAAATGCCATTCAAAGACCTAAAACATGCAGTATATTGCTTACAACCTAGTAAGACCTGTGTTTGCCCTAAACAAATTTAGATGCGGAATATTGTTGTTCTTTCTTTCAAGATGTATTTGTATGAATGTCTGCAGCTGTCAGAAACGGTATATGCCATGTATGTTGTCTTCAAATAGATCAAAAGATGACAGATTCGCATGTAGATCCAGAAAAAGGTGATGCATCAAAGACTAATTTGATATTCAAAGGCATATTATTTTCTGATATTGTGGTTTATGTGTATAGCATTCACTTAAAATACTTACAGGCACCGTGGAAATATTAATTTCCGGGTTATGTTTATGTCATTGACTGGCTAACAGTATTGTACATGGGGAGACGAAACAGATTTAGCAACAGTGTTGGCAATTTGTTGACATCCTAACTTTGATTATCATTCCATCACTGTCAGTCATCACGAACTGACTGGTTTTGATAACTTTACAGGAAATTCAGTTTTACTGAATACTTTTCTTTATTAAAATTATGACATTGAATGTCATGATAAAATGCTTTTTTTGGTTATTATTATATTACATACTATATTTTTTCTATTTTGTAAATGAGAGTGAGTGAGTTTAGTTTTATGCCGCTTTTAGCAATATTCCAGCAATATCACGGCTGCGGATTCATGTGGGGAATCGAACCTGGGTCTTAAGCATGAAGAACGAACGCTGATGATGAGGCTACCCCGCCGCCCCTGTAATTAGTGTAAATGAGAGAAAGAAATTTTTGAAGACTGGTTTGCTTAATGCATTGTGCAATGCCAAAAACATATGACTGTCTAGATATATGTGTTTTTTTCACATGCAATATGTGTCATATATTATGTAAATAATACTGCTGGAAGTAACATGCTAATGTATTTGGTTGAACTGCTGAACTACAGTGCATTTTGGGTAGCATTTCTAAACTGATTCTTTGATCCATCACTCTTGATAAACTTCCAGACAGTCTCCAAAGAAGATAAAAAAATAAAATCTATCAGTTTGTTCAACATGTTCAATGGAAGTACATCAGTGATGGACACGAGCCCAAACTTTGATACTATTGCAAGGTGACAATGATTAGTCTCTACCATGTCTATTATTGTGTATGGTTAAACTGATGTGACTTGGATCCAATGTATGGTTTATAGAAGTTAATGCATGCTGGTTTAAACATAGTACAGGTTAGTTAGTGTGAATGAATGAGTTATTGATTCGTATTGATTAGGAAAATAACCGTCTTTGGAATTATTTGCTTGCATTAATGACTGCCTTCATTTTACATGTTAAGTCTATAATGAATAACCTGGAACATATTTGGTTTTATCAGAGCATGACCTTGGCATCAGCCCTATTATAAAGATATCCTTTAATGTTGTTCTCAAGTGAGAATTATTATTTCTTATTTTATTATATATTTCCTCACTATGATTTTAAGTACTTGCTAAATTGTTGAGAAAATGTACTTGTTTTAATATGTGGCCAACATGTTTGATCACATGGGCATAATGTTATAAACATAAATGTTCTGCTTGGTCATTTTACTAAGTTTGTTGCACAGAAAACCTATCTGATGTATTGTTAGTGATATCAGCATGTTTCATGTGAATACATTGAAATGAATGATCATTTTGCTGAGCTCTTGTTCAGATGTGTAGGCGAACGGCACTCAACTGCCAATAGATCAGCTAACAGAATAGTCCTCGATTTTCAAACATGTTCAGCAAATTTGCTTCACATCAAATCAAGCTGCATCATCGATGCTACCAGAGCTTACAGGATTTCTGATATCATGGTGTGTATCAGACTTTTCGGAGCATGACAGGGTTTAATGGCCAACAGCGCTCAGTCCGGTGTCCCTCGACTCATGAGTAGGTATTGTATGGGTGATCAACTGGACAGTGGTGTCATTTGGTCAGTTGGTGTGGGATCCTGGTCTCCAGGGTGAGAAGCTCATTGTAAGCAGCTACAATGGTGGGAAGAGATCCAATAACCAGCGTGGGTTCCCTCCCTACTGAATCTATTGATCTGGGATGCTTGTGGAGCTGACGCAGGCAAGTCAGGCTTGGGAGAGGAACGTTATTAGAATTCCGTCAATAACTTCAACTATGGCATTCAGTGGTGAACTGCAATATGTCTGCCCACAACCATAATCAGTCTTCATTGTATGCTAATATAGCCAGACTTCCAGTCTTATATATATATATTCTCCATGTATATATACTTACTGATGCACCAGTACTTGTCATACACATCCTCTATCATATGTAAACCTGTGTATCAATCTGTGTGCCTGCTGAATCAGGGTAAATGGCTGTCATGTCATGTTGGCAATATGTTAGATTCACATTTTAGAAGTTGATGAATAATAAGAACAGTGGGGCACTTTGTGGATGAAATCTTCATTATTACATTATGATACAATGTTTTGGTGTAGATTCTTATACTGTTGTCAAGGAACAGTGAATGTTGAAGATCTTTCTTTGTGGCATTTAATCCCCCCTTGGGCATTGTCAGTTATGGTATAATGGAGAGCCTTCCATGAGTTCCAGGCTATTTAAGGTCATCCTTGGAAGTAGTTTTGTTTAACACTGCCAGGTCTTCAGAATTAGACAGGTACCATCTTAGCTGTAATAAGTGCCCTGGGCTTTGAAAACTGACAAGAAGAACGTGTGTGGTTGGTGTTAAATTTGCTGTCAGTATTCAGGCAGTAGTGAATGAGTGTCTCTGAGCTATCATCTTTTTCATCATTGTTGCTAAGCAGTTATATGCCGTTTCTATGCTGTCATGTAAATGTTCTATTAAAACAGGAGCTTTATGCAGCGATTATGAGTGGTAGATATAACTGATTTTGTAGGTAGTCTTGTTGTAACATACATCATGGACATTACTGAGAAAATTATACGTCTGATTTTGCATACCAAAGTCAATTACAGCTCCATTGAAATTATTTTTCATTATCCTGGCTCTTCTTCACATCAGTACATTATATTTATATAAGGAGCTGGGTCATGATCATATTGTGATCGGGTTGTTTTTTCAGGTTTGGTTACCAGGGTTGCATACTACACTTATATACTACTCTTGTCAACTGGGATATTAACAGCCTCTGGTTTACTTTATGATTAGTATGGGGTTACGCTTACAGTAGTTTCCAAAGTAATAATGCGTGCAGCCACAATTCTCTGATATTGGTTAGCTGAAGGTTATATGGTTCATCCTCATCCACTTCTCTGATTGGTCGACAACGGCAGAGGGTTATGAGAGCATGGTAAAGTGTCTCTGTGTTTTATTGGAAGTTCAACATAAGTGTTCTGTTTGCTGACACAACGTCTGTGATAAGCTGAAAATAGGCACCTGTTGCCATGGTTATGAGAGCAGTTGAAGAATGTGTGAGTGTGATGTTTATTACAGGGTGAAAAGGGTTGCCAGAGCCACCTGGAATATTTCTGTCTGAACAACACAACAAGTGGTTGTTCATCTTTGATCATCCAGATGTTCATCCAGTTGATATTAGGCAAGGTCAGTTCTCATTGATAACGACATGCAATTTGACAATTCCATTCTTACAACCAGGTCCCCATTCAACAAAATGATCTTCACACTAAGATGAATGTATAGTATGACCAGAAATTATTGAGTATTTTAGGAATATGTTTAATTGGATTTCTAGTATAAACAACCATGACCAGCTATCAAGTGCTTGGTTTCATTCAAGAGCGACAACTCCGTTAATCCTGTTTCATTAGTTTGTGAAGAGTTATCCCCCTTTGTTTACTTGCTAGCAGACGACATTTTCAGTGATCCTCAGTATGGATGATTTAGAGAAGAGGAAGTTGATTTTAGAGTATTATAACAAGGACATCAGATCAGCTAAAGTTTTTTCAAGTAGAACAGGCATCCCTTTGTCCACTGTTTATCGTGTTTTGAAAAATATTGCAAATGGATATAGCATTGAGCACCAGGGAGGCACAGGTAGGCCCAGATATTCTCGAGGGACATTTACTTCCATCTGCTCACGTGTTCTATGGAAATATTTTGGATTTTCCAGCAGGACAACGACCCAAAACATCGTTCAAAGCATTCACAGGCCTGGTTTCGGACCCAAAATATGACATTATTAGATTGGCCAAGCTATATCCTTGGCCTAAATGCAATAGAAAATGTTTGGGGACTTATGAAGGAAAGTGTCAATAAGAAAAATCTGACAAATATTGCTGAAATGAAAGAAGAGGTGGTCCGATATTGGGACAGTATGGACCATGACTTTCTAACTTCTTTGATCAGTAGTATGCCCCGCCACATTGAAACCTGCATTGCTGCCCATGGTGACTTGACAAAATACTAACTGTTCACCTGTCTTTGAATCTGGAGTTATGTTCTGCTAATATTCACATTTAATATGTGAGTAATGAGTGAAAAAAAAATATAAAAATTACAATCTTAAATTCTCAATAATTTCTAGTTGTACTGTAACTCCTGTACTTTAGCGAAGGCTTGTGATAGAACTAAGATCGCTCTGTGAACTGGCTCCCTGTTCTGTTAGCTTTCTATTTATTATTAGCACGAGTTACTATTGAATACAACACGGTGAAAGTCGGTACATGACTGGGTCTTGTGCCTCAGTCATGGTGACTTTCACAATATCGTATTGCCTTTTGTATAGTAATGTGATTCAGTTTCATGTTGTAGACTAACTGCAGCAAAGCAGTGTCGGGTCATGAGTAGGGATGGGACAGGTCCAAATTTTCTACCCTCGTACCCACCCCCTTTTACCCTACCCTACCGAGATACCCGTTATGTTAGTTCTTGACATCAAATTTGCAAGAAATGGCAATATATTCTTCAGCTGGGAGGCTAACATTTCGAGTTTTTCAATATCTTAACCATGTATTATATTCAAAAGAAGTGACTGTAAATTATGTCTAAATCTTCAAAGACAATACGACCTTTTAATCATGAAAGAATAACATATTTCATTGTTTAATCTATTAGTCACATGATCATAATGGGTCCGGGTATTGAGACGGGTACCCGGGTCCAATTCATTACCCACCCGTCCCGGGTATTGGGTTACCCATCCCAGCCCTAGTCATGGGGTTAAAATGGAAGTAGGACATAAGGCCACAATACTCCACCAGTACCAGGCCAGGGGACACCAGGGCTTTACACATAATTCCAGAGTGAGTAATCAAAATCGGTTCTTTGTGTTACAAGCAAATGCTTTAACCACAGAGGTACCTCACCAACTCCTGTAAAGAGCGAACAAGAGCTCTTCATGTTGTACTGAGTACAAATTATCTCACTCTACTCAGGGCTCATCATTTCCTGTCACGAACAAAGACGTGACATGTAACATGAACATTATGGAAACTATGCATGAAGTAACTGGGTTACGTTCAAGGCAATAACAACTTTTGTGGGTTTTTCTTGAACCCAATACAATCTTTGACATATCAAGTATTGTTTTGTGCCATGAGGGTTTGCTAACATGCAATGTTGTCATGTTATAACACACAATACTGTACGGGCATGCAGTCGGGTAGGATAACCCACTCTGACATCAGAGTGTGATAAAACACAATAACACAACCACCAAGCCTCACATGCCTGATCCGCTACTGGACTCTGCTCATCCTGCTTGCCATAGGATTACCATGATCGTTTGTATAATAAGTGATGACTTGATATAATTATTATACTGTAATTCGTACATCAATCAGCTGTATCTCATATGTTCCTGTACATGCATCATGGTATATCTACATAGTGATTATACATGTGTGGTGGTATACGCCTGTAATGGTATACACATGTGTGGTTGTATACGCCTGTAATTGTGTATCTATGTGTGGTGGTATATCCTGTAATGATATAGTGAGTGAGTGAGTATGGTTTTACATACATACATACATACATACATACATACATACATACATACATACATACATACATACATACATACATACATACATACATACATACATACATACATACATACATACATACATTTGTATAGCGCCGATATCCAGCTCAGCTGCTCAAAGGTGCTTAGTTTTTTCCCTCAATCACTGGATATCAATCTCAATGGCACATCGCATTATCAATCTCAACTCCCTGGGTTTTACGCCGCTTTTAGCAATATTCCAGCAATATCACAGCAGGGGACACCAGAAATGGGCTTCACACATGTAATCATGGTAATGATATAAGCATGTGTGTTGGTATATTCTTGTAATTGTACAACCAAGTGTGGTGGTATGTGCTTGTAATGATATATATATATATATGTGTGGTTGTATATCCTTGTAATTGTGTGGCTATGTGTGATGGTATATCTTAGCAGTGATATATACGAGTCATGGTATATGTTAGTGTGTTTCTGTGTACACATGTATTGTGGTATGTCAACCTAATGATGTATGTATTCATTTCCAGGTTGTGGGGGATGAGAGGCGACAGTGAGCAGACACAATGTTTGAGAGTGTGGTGGCCAACCTCCTCAACAAGTACTTCGGGAAGTACATCCAGAACCTTGACGCCAGCAACCTCAACGTCAGCATCCTCCAGGGTACGTAGTGTCTGTGGAAGACAAATTATGTCCCAGTGCACACAGGGCCCCGACCAATCCCTTGACAGTGTTGACATTCAAGATCCCGTGTTTAACGAGGTATTAGATGATGCTGGTTGATTGATAAGTTCTGAGCCTCACATTGAAGTCATTGTGTAAAACGAAAATTATTTGTCGTGGACATTTCATAATCCACACATACTTGAATCATTTAAGCAAACTGTTCCAACAAACCAGAAACCATCCATGAAGATGTATGTACAAGATGCCAACTCCTACGGCACTATAAAAATATGGGCAGCATGTTTACGTGTAAAAAGGAGTTTTGAAGAGGACCTGGCCCCGGGGTCATGAAAGTGACTTAAGTCTAAAATTTGCTTAAGTCTGTCATTTTGATCTTTAGTCCCAAAAATTGTCTTAAATCGGGGATCACGTACATTTATTAGTCTTAAAAATTAAGACTGAGATCATTTTTTGTCTTAAATCCTGAGACTGCTACCTACCAGTCTTAAGTCCTTTTTGATGCTGAGGTTTTTTTTCAGGTGCACAATTTCATAAGGTTTGAAAAGTGAACGTTGTGCGAGATTTGCGCTCGCGTGGTCCTGGATCTGCATACAGCTATAAAATTACACAGAAATGTGGAATATTAAATTTCCTATCTGTTGGTATAAGTATAAATGCAAATACCTCGGCGGTTTGAGAAATAAACACTGCTAAATGATGTCCAAAATTTTGCTATGCATTCAAAAACAGTAAATTTCTCCGCTTTTGATCGCGTGCAATCGGTAAAAGCACTGTGCTACTGATTTTTTAATTTGGCATCTTTACAGAAAGTGTGAGCGAATAAATTACAGCCTGATATCTGAACGACATAAGTATATATGTAATAGGTTTATTTGCTTATGCATAGCGTTATCACGCTCAACATTAAAATGACTCGCATAATAAATGTCAAAATGAATTTTCTTCTATGACGCCAAAGGACGACAGAGTGGTCATCTGCCATATAAAGATAAGGGGGCATAACCCCGCTATGCTTAACACTAGGTCAATGTACCTCATATCACTTGGAGAGAATTCGTTGTGGATACGGACGCTATATTTTCCTTATGTTTTGTTCACCGTGAACCAAACTACATGTATTCCAATACAAAGTTCCCCAATGTGAGCGGATACGTTTTAGTAGTTTCACAAGTTATAAGAAAAGATGACAATGTACTACATGAGAAAGCACGTAAAAGCGATTTGGATGACCCTATCCGATATGTAAATTAGTTCTTAAATTCACATATTCTCCTGTTTGTGTAGATGTATTTTGACTGATTTTGCATCATTATCATCATTATCCTTAAATATAATGAAATTACTGAAAAGATTACACAATTGTAGTTGACGTCATTGCTTGTTTTATGTATTTTGCGACGTCGAAAAAAAACGACACCGGTATGCTGATCAGTATATATCTCACATAATTTCCATGAATTGTGTAAAAGGTTTCGGTTTCTATGTCTGAATTTAACACTCTTGTGACAGAACTTAGAAAGACTGATTTTACCATTTCAATAATGTCCTGAATAGATCCATAATTAGACGGTTTGACTTTGTATCTTAATATGAACAACACACGCACCTGTTTGGCATGAATTTGACGTAAATTAAAAAGAATATTTCACAACCCCTGACCCTGGGGTCATGAAAGTTAAATCGCTATTCATAACCTGTTCATATGCAACTGTAATATTGGTCCGAATGACGAATATTGCACATGATACATGAACTATTTAAGTACATGTTGCAGTTACGCCTTCGTTTGTTCTTTTAATACTTTTTTAAGGGTTTAAAATATGGTGTACTACACTCAGTATATCAATTTCTTATGTAAATATTATTCAAACAAACAAAACCCTTTAAAGAATGAAAACCGTATACCCTATATCTAAGGATATGATATAGAACAAGGCTAAATGTAGATAATGAATAGTTTCATGAAAAAAATATCTGAAAGACACTCAAAATATGCACTGAAAGTGTAATCGGTGGAACATGGCGATTGTGTTTACTCTTATTCAACCGACCTTCACCTCAAAGAAATTGCCAAATATGTAACAACAATGTTGACGTATATGACATCACAACCGTTGACCGATTTCTTACAAAATGGCAGCTTCGGTGACATGGGTATACAGGATTTTGCGAGGACCTTTCCTTTGATTCGGGGATCATTTGTACATAAATGTGTGATGTGAGTAATCAGAATGATTCTGACTATCTGTGTAATGTTACATGTTTTATCGTTTTTATTGTAAGTAAGAGAAGAAGCCAGATATGGCGATCATTACCGTTGTTGTTCTGCGAGATTTTCCGTCAGTCATGGCGAAACTTTGACAATTTCGTATAAACATATCACATTACTGTATTGTATCTATTATTTTTTGCTTCAATACTATTTCCATGTATGTTCTAAAAGTATTGAGCCTATGCATGCTACGAATTAACGAATGGGTGTTTGAAATTTGAGAAAATGCAGTACACAGTGTAAAGTCTCAATGTTTCTTTGTTTACATTTCAGCAAGTGCTGTCTTTCGCGCACAGCGTTCGTTTCATATCACCTAGACACTTGGTTTTAGTGACAAAGACCATTTCTTATTTGACACTAAAATGTAAGAGGAATTCAGTGATGTATTTGTCACAGCTGAATAGGAAATATACGTGATGTAATAGGCGCCTCAATACCGCCTTCGCGAAAGCGTGATTTTGAAAACACTATCCAATGCAATATGGCAGAAAGCATTTAGGCGTTCGTGTTGGTGTATTTCGAAAACATCCCAACCTTAAAGACACTAAAAGTCACCGCGGCAGGGATAAAAGCGTCAGTTGACTTGTTAGGAACATTTCAGCAGGTGCTTGCTACTAAACTATTCTCCTCAATTATTTAAGAGTGACCGGACATGATTACATCATTCTAAAATTGCCATGGTAACTGTCTTAGTCTTAGTCTTAGCTAAGATTTGGCTGAGACAGTTTCATGATCCAGTCTTATCTAACATCTTAGCTAAGCAAAAAAATTTAGACTTAAGATGTTTTTGTGCTGAGCAAATTTTAGACTTAAGATTTTTTCATGATCCCGGGGCCTGGTCCTGAAAGGTCGACCCGTGAGATCTGGGTTAGAATTGGTCTTCAGTAACCCTTTCTTGTCGTAAGAGGCAACTAACAGGATTGGATGGTCAGGCTCACTGACTTGTTTGATACATTTCATCGTATCTCAATAACGTAGATGAAGCTGATCACTGAATTGTCTGGTCCGGACTTGATAATTTACAGACCACCGCCATATAGCTGGAATATTGCTGAGTGCTGCGTTAAACAACAAACCAACCAACCTGAAAGGCCATTCAGGTCATCTGTACCAGAAATGATACAGAATTCACTGTATCACTGTATTCAAAAGTGCCATCATTGTTGAAGGGGGTTGTATTGTTACTTTGATCAGTTTAACATCTTTAGGCCATGTCTCAAAACATATCATCAATTCTCTTAAATAATACATGCCCCTACATGTATGTGTGAAGTATTGAGTATACTGCACTACCATACCTACCTGTGGTGCCTAGGCGTGAAGATCCGGGGTAGAATAGGTCTTCAGCAACCCATGTGCTTGCCATAAAAGGGACTATCTTGTGTGAATTAACTCACGGGATCGGGGTGGTCAGGTTACTTGGTTGACACATGTCATCGGTTTCCATATGGAATCGATGCTCATGCTGTTGATCACTGGATTGTCTGGTCAGACTCGACATTTACAGATGCCCGCCATAAGCTGGAATATTGCTGAGGTGCGTAAAAACTAAACTCACTCACTGTGGTGCCTAGGACGGTATTGATTAACTCACATATGGAAGGTATTGATTAACTCACATATGGAAGGTATTGATTAACTCACATATGGAAGGTATTGATTAATTCACATATGGAAGGTATTGATTAACTCACATATGGAAGGTATTGATTATGCCTCACAGATGAAGGTATTGATTAACTCACATATGGAAGGTATTGATTAAGTCACATATGGAAGGTTTTGCTTAAGTCACATATGGAAGGTATTGATTTTAACTCAGATATGGAAGGTATTGATTGTAACTCACATATGAAAGGTATTGGTTATAAGCTACATATGGAAGGTATTGATTATAACTCACATAGGGAAGGTATTGATTATAACTCACATATGGAAGGTATTGATTAACTCACATATGGAAGGTATTGATTTTGACTCACATATGGAAGGTATTGATTGTAACTCACATATGAAAGGTATTGGTTATAAGTTACATATGAAAGGTATTGATTATAACTCACATAGGGGAAGGTATTGATATAATGCACTAATATTTATATGTGAAGGTAGGTGTTAATGTGACACCAGGTGTCATCACTGATTCTCATTGGTTCATCCATGTGATTTTCACTGCTGTTTACACCTAATGGAATCTTTTCATTGGATGTACAAGATTGGTTACCCCCTGGCCTTTCATGTACTGTAAGTATGAGTGTTTTCCTTGCTGATATGGCTGTTACCTTGGTTATACACTGTGAACATGTTGTATATGCTCTGTTAAGATGGTAATACGTGCTCTGTTTGCTCTCTCAGGTGATGCAGAGTTCACAGACCTACAGCTGAGGCCAGAGGCATTGGTGAGTGTCACTCCTGTGTTGTAATTGCTTTACACAAGCTGTCGGCTCAGTAATACCTGGATCTGTTACCAAACTAAGTAAATATAGAATTCTTGGTTACCTGTCTCATGGAATACGCCAATGACTTGCACATTTGACTGTCATCATGATGATATAACACCTGTATGAATATTCAGAAAGGATTGTTTATTTAGTTCCTGTGGTGACAGGAGTGTGTGGACATGTATTCCAAAAATACCCACTGTGTAAATACTCTCTTTAAAAGGACCATTACTCATGCTGAACGGACTGTATTGCTGTTTTATCATCTGGACATGCAGGGATTTATCTAGGATTCTTAACTAAGGCAATTTGGGGATAATCTTTTCAGTTCAGAATCAGGATTTAATTTCTGAGATTATGTTGAGTACAGTAATAGAAAAAAATAACTAAGCATAAGCTGCTGTCTGTATATTAGTCCTGTTATAAGTGAAATACAGGTTAGCTCTACAAAGCTATAACTGTAGTCATTACATGATCTGGGTCAAAATTAATCATTCTGCTTTGGTAATTTTAATGATATATGCTTCAGAATTTGGAACAAATATTGGCCCCTCATCATGTGTGATTAGATCTTTGATGCGCAGACAGATAATGATTAGTTATTACTGCTGTTTGTGATAGTAATTCACAGATATCACATGTGTCACAAATACATGTAAAGGCATTCCACAAACACAGGAACATGCAGTATAGGTACAAAGGGTTTGCATCAAACATCATTTTTAAGTGCTCTCTTCATGTCTACCAAACACTTATTAAAAAACTGGATTTTTGGTCAAGCAACTTTTGAGCAAGTCATAAGGCCTTGAGATGCTCTCAGATATCTTCATACATAAAGAGAATGCCTAAACGTTGTGATATGTAGACACCAAAGGCTAGAGCTGCTGGAACATTACCAGACTAAAAGCAACAGTTTACCACTGAAAAGTTGAAGTTTTTGAGAATCGATCTGCTATGAATGACACCTGTGCCATGTGTATTGTACTAAGGAGTCAGGGACTTGGTGGTATGTTTACTCAACCCTGCAATGCATCTTAGGTTTTACAGTCAAACCAAACGTTGATAGTACTAATGCATGCATGGGGAGATTTGGTTATCTCCGGACTCCAGGACTTTCTGGTTCTTCACTGGGGTTGGTGTTCATGAGGTGAAGTGAAATGGAGATTTAACGTCATGTTCTTGTTATTTCACTTACATAACAACGCTAATGCACATGTTTATGCCTGTAATGGTCGGACATCAAGTGAAGAGAAGATGGATGTCTCTGTAGCTTGTGTTTAGGTGATCGTAGTTAATACAGACAACACTGCCCGTACTTGAAATTCCACTCTGCCCATTGATTGTGCACAAAATATTTGCTGTTCACTTCATTTGCGAGCAGCATGACATTGATATATCACCTCCATCTACTTGACCTCACACACATTGATGAGATCTAATAACATAGGGACACAGGTTGTCTGGCCATCTTGGACTGTGCAGTTTGTTTTACGGAGTTGTGTCCCTTGGGTGTGCCAGGAAAGTATTGATGTACGTCCGAAACCGATTTTGCCAAATTATGTTGTAGATCTGTCAGCACTATTCCGTGCTTGTGGGTTCCGTTGTTTAAAGGAATGTCAGACATTACTCATTCCCTAAAAAGTTGTAAAAAGGGGCGGTGGGGTAGTCTAGTGGTTAAAGCGTTGGCTCGTCACGCAGAAGACCCGGGTTCGAATCCCCACATGGGTACTATGAGTGAAGCCCATTTCTGGTGTCCCCCGCCGTGATATTGCTGGAATATTGCTAAAAGCGTCGTAAAACCAAACTCAGTCAGTCAGTCAGTTGTAAAAAGATGAAGTATGAAGTCAACTTTCACAGTGTATAACTATATAAAAGAGAGTATTAGATGTATTTACTCTTTATCATGAGAAAAGCATTCAGTAAACGTGTTCATCAAAAGTGTTAACGTGCCACACAGCCTTGTCACATAGTGGTTGACATAGTGAACTGTTTGTTTATATTTCACTACAACTTATGTTTTGTGTTTGCCAGGGTTGTTGATAACCATGACCCACAATCTCTAGGTTTGAGTGAGTGTGGTTTTATGTTGTGTATCATGGTAGGTTACACCAGAAACAGGTTACAGACATTGTCCTCGGGTCTTTGGCTTGTTTGCTTAAGAACCTGGCCACACTATTATCGCTAACTTTGTTACAGTTGAATAGAACCTAAATTATATCTGTGAAATGACACAAGCAAAAGTTTCTTTGATCTTATTTAAAGCTTATTTCAAATTATTCGAGTTAATGGTAAATATTTAAAGGATTCTTATTTATTATGTGTGTATCAGGAAGAAGCTAAGAGTTTCTCTGATTGAAGATGTCTATAGTTTCTTGATTGTTTGCTCTAAAATCATGGATGAAAGGTTTTATCTGTACATTTTATATTCAATTACAACTTTTATACGTGAATGATTGAATGTGTGAATGAACCATTTCATAACAATAATGACACAGGTTCACTGTGCTGATGATATTCAAAGTGTTCAAAATTAAATTCTCAGTAACATAGTTGAGAGCTGATAAAGATGGACAAAGGCGACATAAGCATGAAAAGGGATGTGAATTTATCGAAGAGGGTATTTAAAATGTATGCCAAATTCTATATCATATATCTACTTCATAACATATTTATCAAACACAGGCACTCAAAAATTGTGTCTAATCACGTGCACTGAAGTAAGATTGTTGCCAAATTTTCTTTTCTCAGTTCCTGTGTCTTGTTCTTGGATGTTTTAACTGTTTGGTGAAACCCATGAGCCCAGGTATGGTGCTGACGGAACGAGAGGCATGATCAGGACAAACTAGATTCTGGCCTTCCTAGCTCCCACATCCAATATGTCTGATTTGCATAAATGTTCCATACACTTGTACTGACATGACCTCTCTAGAAAAGCTTTATACAATGACTTCATGTTTTATTGGTTTAACAAAAGTGGAATAATATTATAATTTTAAAACAGTAAATATCCCTGGCTATGTCCAAGCATTACAGTACACTGTGGTCTTTTGTTGAACATGCTGAATATTCCATTGGTGCTCAGCCAGTTCGAGGTATTTGCTCCTTTTCTCAAAATAAACTGTTATTGATTCAGAAACCGACATTCAGTGCTTCTTGAAGGCACATACTGGTTTACTGGACAGTTTATTAGGACAGTGACAGGTCTATATTCATGTCATAATGACAATTGGTAGCCCGTAGCGGAGGTCCCTGGAGGTAATTACTTGTATCTTGTTCAATAATATAGTCATTACCACAGCTACACAGCTTCAGTGTCATGGTTAATAATGCATGGGACAACACCATAAGTATGGAGTGTTCCAGTTTTCCTGAGAGTGTCAATAGAAATACAGTTATATGGCATTATTTTAGCAACCTGGAATAATGTTTATGGTATCTAAGTGAATCTAAGTATTATTTGGAAACCTATTTCAGGTTTTATCAGAAATTATCTTCCCGGCTGCATCATTTTGTCTTTTAAATCACATGGTGCTTGAATGTCTCAGAGATATCATGCTAAGTTTATTTCCTTATTTCTTCCAAGACTTCTCCTGTTAGAAATTGATCGGTCATGTTATAGGTTAATGTCATCCTCAAGATCGGAAATGAAAAAAAGTTCTTGAAAACTGTCATTTCGTGTGTGGCCTCTTTGGGGTGGGGCTGCAAGCTGAAAATGTCATGAGTGACCTACATATAAGGTCAAGGTCACAGTGAAGGTCATTTCTAAAGTATGTTTTGCACTTATCACAAAAGGACTTTTCCTCAGATATTATTTTATCTTATGGATCATGTCATTGAAATATTTGAATATGCATCAAGGACAAGTGATGACAGTTTTATATGAACACAGTAATAGGTCAGCATGACCTACTTTTGATAGATATATGACATGTTATACAGGGATAGAAATACTTTTTTTTCTAAGTAGGGCACCAGACAAATATTTTAGGTGTGCCTTTCTGAAATCAAGTATGCCCACGTTTTTAGAATAAATGACAATGATGATGATCATTTGAAATTTATTGTTAAATAAATGGATTTATGAGCATTCAAATATGTATGGTATTATTCAATTTGGAAAAAAATAATTGTTTTGGGGATTAAATGACTAAATGTAAGTTATGTCTCTTAAAAAATAGGCGTGTCAAAAGGGCACTGAGAACATTTTTTAGCCGTGCAATTTCTGTATTTACCGTGCCATGGCACACTAGTATATGGGGTATTTCGAACCCTGTTATATATTTGTTGTTAGATCAAATTCCACATGGGGATATCATACATTTTTATATGTTTTTTAGATATTTGTTGCTGATGTTTAAAGGTTCAAATGCATGCTCACTGTCATTGTCATAGCCCAAATCTTGATAATATGAAAGGTGACAAAATGGTTCTTGTGGTCAGGCTTGGTGTTTTGGTGGATTTATTTTCTTTGTTACCAGATTAAGTTGGTTGTTGCTGTTAACATCAGTCACCAGTTTGTGAGTCTCTGTATTAAACAGTAGACATGCAGCAGTAAACAAACATGCACGAAAATATGTAAATAGGGAAATTGAACAATATCATCCCTATAGTAGAGCTGTGAAATCCAGTTTGGAATGAATTCCAGTATGTGATTGGCTGAAATTGATGTTGAAGGTGTCATTTGAAGTGCATTTGACATTCTTATTAAAAGTGCCTATCACACAGTCATGATCTATCAGGTAGATCTTTGCATGTTGTCAGTGTTGAAAAAAATTAATTAAAACATGGTTTGGATGTTTAGCCTGAAAGGTCTGTAAAGTGGACTACAGTACATGTATGTTGCATCTGTGCGTTCCCAGATCATCAACTCAGTACAAATGTGCATTCCTTACACCAACCGTAGACCATGCCTTTTGTCGCACCTATATCCGTTTCAAGACATACTTAGTACATTAGTC